TGTACAAACACCGATATGAACAGCTACACCCCCACACCCGTCACACGTGTGAACACTGATGTATAGCTTCCAAATGACTTGCACTTTGTTTTCAAACTATTTCCAGAAATTACTCACCGAAAGAAAGAAGCCTTCACTAAAATATTCCTCGAAGCTTCAGTGATAGGTGTATGCCAATTTTCAGTTTCTATTACGTATGTAATAGTGTTTGATCTTGTATTTTGAATGCTCTGAGGCGCTCTTGTAAGATACTACGGACGCATCGAACTCAGATCAAATTCTTGGCTTGGTTTTGACTGGGTTTGATTGTGTTTGAGTTTGACTAGGTTTGGTGCGCTGCTATAAAATACCAATATCTTACTTTTTTCTTATCTCTTATAGGTTTGCTTTGTCGTGTCTCATTTCCATATCTTTCAGCTCTGAACCTTTCTAGAATTAGCTACATCTACCCAATGGACAACAGTAGAGATCCGAAATAGATCAAAGCTGAAGTTGTGGGGTGTATTAAGTGACAAAAGAATGTGCCTTCCCCTCGCAAACACTCCTATCAACAGGTGCATGCAATTCTCACATCCAAACCCTTTTTCTATATTATCGCAGACGGTCTTTCACGATACTTCAATGGTAGTATGTAGCGATTCTCACGGCTATTTTCATTAGAGTCTATTTGAAAATGGAAATATTGTTCTTGCTTTACAGTCATCGCACTGGTTGAAAAATCTAAACTTACTGTTTGCAGTGTTGACAAGACGTTCGATCAAATGAGACATATGCTGATGTATTTCATATTGAAGTAGCAAGAAACTTTTCGTTCGTTCTCAATGTTTTATTTTCGCCGAATTTATTCGCCTGTTGTTGCACCTGTTGTTGAGTGTGCCTCGGCGCATCGCAGAAAAAGCCAAAGTGTTTCTCCACCGCAGCACTCATGTGATTAAAATAATGCATTACTATATAGGAGGTGTATATAACATTATACTAGAAGTCTCGCAGAAAGAGTAATAAATGTAAAAGTTGTTTTTCGCATGTCACTTCTAGCAAAATAAGTGCTTGATGCTCGAGTCCATACTAAAGTAGTATCTATCTGCTGTAACTCCACGCAAATAACTATGCAGTAAGGGTGTGGGGGTGGGGTGTGGGTGTGGGTGTGGGTGTGGGGTGTGGGTGTGGGTGTGAGTGTGGGTGTGGGTGTGGGTGTAACTGTCGGTAGAAATAATATTGAGACCTTCGTCTACCAATACACACCCACACCCCACACCCCACACCCCACACCCCACACCCACACCCACAGCCACACCCGACATCCACACCCACAGCCCACACCCACCCACACCCACACCCACACCACCCACACTCACACCAACACCCACACCCACACAGCCACACCCCACATCCACACGCACACCCCACACCCTCACAGCCACAGCCACACCCACAGCCCACACCCACCCACACCCACACCCGCACCCACACCCACACCACCCACACTCACACCCACACTCACACCCACACCCACACACCCATCTCAGGTGATGCCTCTAGCATTTTGATAATGCTTCTAGCGTCACAGGCAATGCTATTCGCATCCCATGCAATGTATCTATTGAACATGATATATAACTCGACCTAGTTTCTCAGTCAGATAGGGCCGTAGTGCTTTAAACCGAAAAACATGGACTGTATGTTATGGTAAAACGTCGATGGGAAAGTGAGCTCGAAATTTGGAGTTTGCATGTGGAGCTCACTTTTCTTGACCGACCCACACCCAGCCACCCACACCCCACACCCACACCTCACACCCACACCCACACTCACACCCACACCCGTTCTTCATCGCGTTACTCTTACGTTTATCTCTTTATGATGGAACTTTGTTCCTGTCTGTCGTAATGCGCTTCTCATTCAATCATATATATCTGTTCTCTCCTTGTCATCATTACTTATTCATTCGTACATTGTTGTACCTTGGGCCTCATCATCTGTCTTCGCATCATTTCCTATTCTATTCGTACATACAAACGTGTCATTCACATGTGAACGATATGATGGTATGATGTGCCAAGAAGCAAGTCATCTTTGCTAATTACGCTAATGGTTATTACGTCAAACGACACTAACACAAGTAACGTTCATCATCAAGCGATTCACTTAGCCCTAGACTGATAGAATACATGTACGGATGTAATAGCATAAAAAGCTGCATTAAAAAAGTAATACGCAAAATTGATAATATAACCAGTATATCTTAGGCGAGCAGAAAACTTAATTCGGAGAATTCTCACTCTAAGTAAAGATAATGCATTTTACAAATTTAATTTTTTTTGTCGTTTTTGTTTTATTTTTTTTTTGCTTTTATAAATATGAATATCCTAGAGAAAGTACTGAGTTCAGGGTACCCATGTACTCAGAAAGCTCTAGCAGGGTACCCAATATGGGTACTTTGAAAATTCTCAGTAATTTTACTGATGTATGTACTGTTTGGGGTACCCATAAAAGTACATTCACTGCATAAGTACCTGCATGGATACACAAGTCTGTAACTTTACTGAGGAAATCTCGACAGGGTATCCTAAATTTTTCGCGTTCTGTGTGGCGACTATTCATTCACCGTTTTCTTTTTTACGTACGGCTTTATATAAACAACTCAATAAATCATAAGAAAATAATCAATTTTCATACTAGTTTTTTCTAAATTATTTCTTGACTATTTCTTAGTTGAGGAAATGCCGAGCTTGGTCGTAAATTAAGATCGGACTACCCTGAAGTGGTCTACGACCAACTCAAGTCGAGTCGGATCCCGACATTGTTCCTGCTAAGTTTTTGGAATCAAAAAATTAAATTGAATAAAGTAAAAAAAATCTAGTAAATTATCTAAAGAAAAAGAAAAAATTTTAAAAAGTCAAAGATCAGGTTCGATCCTGAACATACTGAAAATTTGGTAACAGGGTACTTAGAAATACTATACAATGGTACCCAATTCAGTACTTGATCAGTACCTTCAGGTACCCAATTACTGTGTATTTTCCAGCAGGGTACTTTCAAAGTACCAGTTAGGTACCTGTAAGTACCTGCAAGTACTTTGGTACCCTCAAGTTCCTGTGACATACTGGTATCAGGGTACTTTTTTGGGTACCCTTAACTCAGTATATTCTCTAGGGTAGCGCTCAATAAGATTAGGCAAGAATACGATTTTTTTTGTAATTATATTGGCGCTATTTGTATGTACAAAAATATGAATTATATTATTCATAAAATTTGAGTTTTATTAATCAATATTTTATGCTTCAATTCGCGCATTAATTCTAAACTATTAATAAATTAGATATTCATTGATACAACATTGCACAATAAATCCTACAATAATGAATAATTTAAACGATTTCTTTAAATCCATACTGCTCATTTGCTCTGACTCTCACTAATTAAATGCTTTTGTAAGCCGTTTTACACCCCTACCCGAAGTATAGTTATTTCATTGACATTTTACCGATCATTATTATGGGTTCATGTACATCAGTCTTTAGATGGTCATTTGTGCCATAGTTACCGGAATAGTTGTTTGTACCATGGTTGCTATATGGTCACCTGTGCCATAGTTACCGGAATAGTTGTTTGTACCATGGTTGCTATATGGTCATCTGTGCCATAGTTACCGGAATAGTTGTTTGTACCATGGCTGCTATATGGTCACCTGTGCCATAGTTACGTGGTCGCTTGTACCAAAAAAATGACCGTTTGTGCCATAGTTACATGCTCATTTGTACCATAGTTACCTAGTTAATTTTAGTAAAAAAATGGCCGTTTGTGCCAAAAAAATGGTGACTTGTGCCAAAAAAAAGGTCGTTTGTGCCAAAAAAATGGACACATGTGCCAAAAAAATGGCCATTTTGACCGCGTTACCGACAGACAGACAGACAGACACAGGTGAATTTCGGTTTCTAGACCCTAGCCTTTCAGTCTAGGGAATATCTTCTCAATGCCACTGGATCACCAAGGGTGACATAAGAAGATGGATGTCTTTTCTATAGCAACTGTTGACTAATCTTATAATGCGTAATATTCCATTATATCTTTCCTCTTTCCTTTCTCTTTTTTGTATTGTAATATTTATTCTCCCTCTTCTCTCCCATCCTTCTCCTATATAAGCTCATGTTGTGTATTAGATTGTTGCATTTGGATGTAGGCACATTTGGATGTAAAGCATAGTCGAATAAACATCATGCCCACAATGGGATCAAAGACATTTAATGTGCCTCTCCATTTGTCATAACGATAGTGGAATGCACTAGTAGCTCATTAACATCAATGCCCAACCAGGGGTAGAGCTGCATTCACTATTTTTCGTTACACTGTGTACCTGCAGAACGGTTAATGGTGCACCATGTACCTGTAGAACGGTTAATAGTGTAACGGTGGACAGGTGAGACGGTGGCACTGCTGCTACAGTGAGCCGGTGAAACTGGTGAACGGTGAACCGATGCACTGGTGAGGCTAGTGGACGATGAACCGATGATCGGTGAAACCGATGGCCACCGTCACTGTTGCATCCATAAACTAAACTACGCTGACGTGAAATTGTTACATTTTGGAATGATTTGAATAGTTTCTATTATCCAAAGAACAAAATAGGTGAAATCAGTCTAGGTGACTAATTTTGTCGAAGTGATTTTTTTCTTTTCTTCTAACGTTATTTGATCGATATCTATTTGAGAGTGGATGTGGATGTTGTTGTGCATATAGATGCACTGCGTCATCTAAATCTATACGTAAACCCACACCCGCACCCAGGCTCCCATCTTCATATAGCACAAGCAAATATACGACATTCACACGCACCCACACCCACACTCTGTTAAACTGATCCTAATTGACAGTTAGTGTTTGTTCATACTTTTTGCTATTTCATGTTTCAAAAAGATTCAGTATCGTTTAATAAGTTAGTTTTAATCAGGTCCGTACTAAATTCTTCAGCTGTCGCGCAGAAATTGCAAACTATTGATGCGTCACTGAAAATTGACGAAACGTCGCAAATCGCTTGTGTTTATTGTTATAATAGTGCCTTTTATTTCGTCGGCACTTAGTTCCTTGCGCATAATTTCGTCCCCCTTTTCCTTATTACTTGTAAATACCATGCATTGATTACGAAATCCAAGCTGCCTTACTTTTTTTATTAAGCGTGCTCCTGCATTATGTACAGGCCGCTCGTTTTCACGATTCATATCGGTAACAATACGAAATGTATTTTTGTTTTTCAGACGCTGTCCAAACGGTGATTTAAGAAATGAAATTGCATATTCAGTACATGATTTAGGAATAAAATGTACATTCATATTCATCGCCTTTGCAGCTGCATATTCCATATGAGCTTTATTCTCCCAATCTTCAACAAATATGCGATCGTCAACCCAAAGCACCGACCATGTCGAAACACCCAATTCAACCTGTCGCATATAGATCGTGTGTTGTGCTCCATGATGAGTAATCGCGTGTTTGAAAACAAAAAATGTTGAATGAGGTAAGAATAATACCTCGTCTTCGTGGTCATAATTGGAAAAGTATTGAATGCGACGGCCGGTAAGTGAATAAATTTTGAATTGTGTATTACGGTTTTCAAAACCACCTCCTTCAGCGACTTGTTTACCTCTTTTCGAACTACTAAATTGGAGCCATGTGATCAAAGCGCCAGGCGTATACATGGTCAACTCATGATCTTTGAGTTGACATGCCCGCGTAACATAGCCCCAATAATAAGGAATATTCGCAAGACCTTTAACTAAATAGTACAAAATAATCGATGCTTCCTTCATTTCTTCTGCTGTTCTCTGCTCGACAACTATGCCATTACCACGACGAGCAACAAGACTGGCACCTCGACTACATGCTTCACTTCTTGAACCGGTATAAAATGCGATAGCGAATGCTGATGCTCGAGCGTCGTCTTCTGATAAACCCTTGTCAAGAAAAAACTTGTACGTTCGATTAGAGCGATCTGCGTGCTCTGTCATCACTTTTTCAACGTTTAATTTTGAGGCTTCTTCATATTTACGACATACTCCTTTCAATTTGTCAAAACTTGCATTATTTTCCATATATTTGCATAGAGTCGGATTGAAATGATCTTCGTACACAAAATGTTCACGACGCGCCTCAGTCAAGTCTTCGGTGTTATATTTCAATGTGATGTGTTCCAGGATAGTTTCCACTTCTTCGCATTCCATGATTTTTATACTTGCGGCAGCTGCCGTTCCTTCATTGGTTGACTCGTTACGTGCTTCGACCATGTCTTTCAACATTTTTATTTTCTCATTGCCATCCAGATAACCCATCAATATCATATAACAATCATGTGACAAACGATGGGATTCATCCGCTGTCGACGGATTATATCTTGACAAGTCTGTTATGATCTCTGCTACGGATCGCGACATTTTGCTCTAAGTTATCTGAAAAGATAATATCTTTGTATGATGGAGTCGATACAGCCATAGTGGCTCTAACAAAGAGATCTCGTGATGTGTCATGCTCGAATTTCGATGATTCATATACCAATAGATGAACTGTATCACATATCTAGGATATTGTGGATGGCGGAGAAGTACAGAGAAATGCTGCAGATGCCAAATTCTAACAAAACTCATTATTCCATTATCAGAACACTTCTCTACAGGGAGATCGGGCGTATCCTGCCTCGGCATCCCCCAGATTCTTCGGATGAAATTCTTTTTCGTTTTTTACTCTAGCGCTGACCGGGAATATGCCTCTCCTCCCATAGATGCGGCGTCTTCAGTAGAGATGCCGCATCTCATGCACTTCTTTGTGGCGAGCACGGCCGCCTGATCCATTCATATGTAGAAGTTCATAAAGAAAGAATTGGTGACGTTAATAAGCTATTACGGAATTGAAATAATGTCACTTCCGGAATAATCTGTCCCTAAGATTTGATGGAACCACAAGTTGAAGCACCTTAGTTAATTTGTAGGACTTACCGTATTTGGAGGTATTAACTTGTTCCAAAGTAAGTTATGCCTTCAGAAAGAAGACACTGTCTGAGGATTAGTTTTGTTTCCCTAAAAACTCTATTGTTGCATAAATAGAATCGTTCCTCTTCTAAGGTATGAGGCATATGCCATACGAAGCGGTCCAGACCAGAGATGGAACCGGTACCGGTAACCGGCCGGTCCGGTCCGGTACCGGTCTGGACTTTGGATCGACCAGTCGACCGGTTTAAACCTGTCTGAGCGATCTAAACCGGTCTGATCGGTCCAAACCGGTCTAAACCGGTCTGACTGGTCCAAACCGATCTAAACCGGTCTGACCGGTCGAAACCGGCTTAAACCAGTCTGACCGATCGAAACCGCCTTAAACCGGTCTATATTTCTCACTTTCCCGTTCTATGATGGTAGTCATATGAAAAAACAACTGGCATCAACACTAGTTCCGCTAATCACATTGGAATTTATATTAAAAAACATTTTCAAAATACCCATCAGTGAGACTATTGTTATCAACGGGAAAACATTATGCCAGTATGCGTGAAAGCACGAAGGTAGCCCTCAAGAGAGTTCACTATGAAACAAGACTTCATTTCAAGCCTTAGCCTGTTAACTATAGACCGATATTTTGTCGGTAGGTTGGTTTTTCTTTTATAAACTGACGTATCATCAGCATCCTGTTTAGTACCGCTAGGCTAGTTTTGCCCGGTAGACCGGTCAGATCAACCTTTTTTGGTAAATCTGTTTCGGCCGACGAACCGGTCTAGACCGGTTTTACCGGTAGACCAGTTCCATCTCTGCCCCAGACAATATGAAACGCCTGAAAGTTTCAAAGAAAAGCTCATTGAAACCTAGAAAGTGGCGCATAACACTCTCCAAAGCGATAGGAAATGAAAGCAGGGGATAGGAGTTGCACAAGATGCAGACACTCATACACATGTTCAAACTGATAATTGGATAGACAAACACAGTCCGGTGAACAGTCACAAACAGAACTGAGCGTCAAGACAAGCATAATCGTAGGATGGACCAGCGACAATTATCAAATTTGAGTAAGTTCATCACATCCACGCTTAAAGAGATGTGATATAAGTCGCATCGTCACACCCATACCGAGAGAGATCTGATGTAAGTCGCTTCGTTGTCCACCTATCAAAGGAGATGTAGTCTTAGTGTATGTTGTCCCTCACGTCCTATACTGGATTCCATGGTAATTTATTGCGTTTATGTTCCCGATGTTCTTTCGCTTTACAAATGCTTTCATCATTGCAATTCCACACGCTATTTACTTATTTTACTGTGGAAGTGATTTCTCAGCAATTCTCACGGCTATAGTCCAGGAGAGGTGACATAGAGGACTTTCCTTCCAACTCGGACCACGGAGTACAATAGTAACGCTGTGATTTAATCGTTGAAAGAATGTGGGTATGATGAATTCATTTGTTTGTACAAACACCGATATGAACAGCTAC